TCCGAAAAAGGTCTGAGGACAGAGGGGTACCGCGTTACACACATGCCCATGTTTCGTCTCCGTTCTCTGCTTTATACAGCATAATCTTACTTGTCCCATTTTTTCTCTCCGATTTAGCACCAACCAACGTCAAGCTGGAAGATGCTCTCCCAACCAGTATGGTGGTTTCATGGACTCCGCCACTGGAGGACTCTGAGGGCTCTCGTTACACATACTGGGCCGCCGCAGCTGACACTGCAGACCACTACTCTCTGCACACCTGTAGTCCAACGGAGCAGGAGGAAAAGGAGGAGGGCAACCACCGCGACACGAGCTGTCAACTAACTGGTCTGCAGCCCGGCAGCCAATATCTGGTGTTTGTATCTGCCTGCGCACAGGAGCAACACCAGGAGCACCGCTGCAGTTCATCCTCCGGACTATCGCTGGGCCACACACTACCGAGTGGTGGGTCTTCCAATTAGCTTTGCCCTTTTTATCCGTCTACTGCCAACTTGAAAGTAGTATTATATATATGCATTTGTTTTCTGGACTTCTCAATAGGAATGTATTAACATACCCTTTCCCTATTTAGACATGGAAACGCTCCACGTTGAGGCTGTCAGCTGTTCCAGCCTGCACTGCACCTGGACCTCCAAGTCCACCGACGCCAATGCCTTTTTCCGTCTACTTCTTGATGGCAGTGAGGCTACCGCCTGTACTGCCGAGAACAAAAACCAATCCTACTCCTGTCAACTGACGAACCTATCTGCAGTCACAATCTACAGTCTACAGTTGCAACTGTGTTTGGTGGAAAACGACAGTGCGCCATCCTGTGAGCCCTACACCACACTGGTCCGGGCCTCTACTCAACCATGCTGTAAGAGTTCCCCTTAGAATTCTACGGGTCTCATGTTTTATTTGGGGTGATTGCTACGATGGTGATGATAATTATCATTGCGTGGAGGAGGAAGAGAAGAGGAAGAAGAAGAGGAAGAAGGGGGAGAAGGAGGAGGCGAATGAGGTGCTATCGTTGAAAACCTTTTCTTCCGAGACTAAGACGGGAAGAAAAGGGGAATGTAGTTGGTTTATTAGAGGTGAACACCGTACCGCCTTGTGTCCAGCAAAGACAAGAAAGGCTGGAATGGTCATTTCAGCCGCCATCACGCAGTCACACCCAACCCCAAGGGATGCACCACCCGGCGCTCGAACAGGTTAATAAGAAATATACCACTCTAACGGCTAAGTCACAAGCCTTTTGTTCAGACGATTAAGGTCAGGAATATTTATGTTCTTTGATCGATCGGTGAAGTTTCATCAGCGAGTATTTTCACCGCCTGATATGAGCTGGAAAGAATCTTTGGCCTTCGATACTTATGCTCATGTCCAACAGAACTATTGTTATGGTGACATTTCATTGGCTCATTTACACTGGCCAGGCTACTAGCTGCTGCGGCGGAGCGCGACGAACAAAATCCATAACCGATCGGTAAGCATTCATCAACGAATGTATTCAGCCTCCGGTTGTACCCCACCAGGTTTGTGTTAAGACTGGCATCTTTGTAGAAACTGGTAGCTTATTCAGCTTAGTCCTCGCATTAATAATGTTTACGAGGATTATCGCGTTAAGGGGAAACGGATACAGCCATGTCATCTGCCTCACAGACACTTTTCTCTTCCATTGGCAGCCATATGGCTCCATTGGGTTTCAGGCCTCCGAGGATGAATTTTAAACTAGATAAAACCAGCTCTTTACTCCCGACTTTGTGCGTATTACCAAGGTTCGCAATGGGTTGCTTCTTGTATCCTCAGGATAACAAACCAAACAAGGACTACTTAAACAAAGTAAGTAGTTATTTAGCTGTAATAAAACCAATAAAGTTGCGCAACTTTGTCTTGGCCATTCTCATCTTCGTCGTGTTTGTTTTTTTCCCTGCAGCGCCCACTAAATTGACGGTAAGGGCAGCTTCATCAACCAGTATTGAAGTGACCTGGGATCGCCCTGTCGAGGGTCCTCTGGTCAGCTTCAGCTACGTCACGGCTTACAGCCTGGGAACGGAATATCACAGTCGGTGTACCTCCCCAGCGAGCAACCAGTCAATCGGCTGCACTATCTTCAACCTTCAGCCCTACATGGCCTACAATTTGACCGTCGAGACGTGCCTAGAGAGTAATTTCTGCAGCCTTCCTTCTGCGATGGTATCAGCTCATACCCTACCCGATGGTAAGATGTAGTACTGGCATTTTTACTGCATATATAGTTGCTTGGATCA